GTGCCCGGGGCCACGGCGCCCCGCGCGCAGCGAATCCCTCGCTCGTAGGCCGCTGCGCTCAGCCGCAGCCCCCGAGGGGGAGACCCCTGGCCCGACGGCCGGCCTGGGCCCCCGATGGCGGGACCGCGCGTCGGGGAGGGTCGCAGACCGAGAGGAGGGATGACTTCGGGCCTGGCCTACTGACCCAAGGCCCTGTGCACCTCGGGGTGGACTAGAATACGCCGAGTTCATTAAAGCGAATCCTGTGCATGGCCGAGCACTGGTGGATGCCAGAACACGACCCCTGACAGAATTAGGTTGGGAGGTTGATAATCAGGGTTTTTGTTGTTGTTTTTTGTTTTTTAATAGAAAGCAAAATTAAATGAAGGTAGCATGTGGGATATAGGGATTTACTTAATACTAGTTGTCCATTCTTAACCTTGATTTTTACGGCAAGTGTTAGATTTGATTTCCTGTATGTGATCATCTAGTTCTTCTAGTCCCTAGTGCAATGTATTGGGCACTCTAGTCATTAGCTAAGAAATCAAATTTTAAACATTAAGGTGAAAGCAAATTGTAAGCTAACTAGTCTTATATAAATACTCTCTAAATAGTTGTTATATTTAATGGTACCCTTATGGAATCAATACCTGATAATTGCTTCAGGTTATATATTTTTTAGAATTATTAAGTTGTGCCCTGACTTTGCTTTTCCCCCCTCATTATCTGACTTTGGTTCCCAGGTATGAAGTGATTGGGTTTCCTAACTTGTTTTGTTTTTTTAATTTGCAGGCAGAGAGTATGTTATTCCATCCTTGGCCCACAGATTTATGGCAGAGATGGTGGATTTCTTTATTCTCTTCTTTATAAAAGCAACCATTGTCTTAACCATTATGCACCTCAGTGGAATAAAGTAAGTGAAGGACATTTGTAGAAAGGTTTTAGTTCTATTTTAGAGTCCTTTTGTTAAGTTCTGTTCAAGCTTGCAAGTGGCTATGTGGGTAATAGGTGTGCCATGGTCATGATTTCTTTATAAGAGCTTTGTTAGAGTTACTGTTTTTTGTTTTTGGTGGTGGTGGTAGTTTTAAAGAAATACCTATAAAGAAGAAAAAAAAATTTTAATAAACTTCTTTTAAAATTTCTGGTAATTTCACTGTTCAAAAGAAGGTAAAAGAACCTTCCAAATCTCATTTGTTCAACTATTCTCTTAGGCCAGGAACTAGTTTTCCTCTTACTATCCTGTGGAGTCTCCATAGACAAAGACATGAAGAGAACTGGCAGGTGACTATTAATAATAAACTAGTGACATTTCCAGATGGGATTGCTCATACTATCAGACAAATCCCGAGTGAACTGCCAAGCGAGGCATTTACTCATAATAATCATAACAGCAGTTACCACTTGCTAAGCACTGAGGCACTGAGCTTACCTCTATGGGTTATAGACTGAAATTTGGGCTTATGAGAAGTTAAACCTAGAACTTAGTCATGAAAGTTAGCCGATGTGAACCTGAGTGTTACTGTGCTTCCTCCTTTTCCCTCCTCCTCACAAAACCACCCAATGCCAACTCCTCTGTGTCTAGTTTCTCCTGGATAGCTTGAGCCTGGACCGTTGCCTCCTCAGTGCTTTGCCTCATCATGGTTTGCCTCATCATGGTTTCTCCCTACTCCAGTCACTGTCATCTCTTGCTTGGATCATAGCCAGTCTCTTGTTTTATCTCAACTGAACCTCCTATGTAAAACCAAAGTGATCATAAATTCTGATTCTGCCCTCCCCTGCCTTAAAACCCTTTACTTGTTTCTCTTCGCCAAGATAAAGTCTGAATTTCTTCATGTGATTTAACACATGCTCTTATTTCTTAATTACTGTCACTTCTCATACTTAATATCTGAGCCATATCAAACTACTTATAACCTCCATCACACACTGTCTTGCTCCACAGCTTTCCTACTGTTCACTTTCCCTGGAACTTTCTTCCACCTTAGTCTGGCTAACTTCTTTTCATCCTTCAAATCCTAGCTTACTTGTCATTCACAAGGTTAAGTGTAACTGAAATGTTTCCCTGGTACTTGTGGTTCCCTATTACAGCTGGCTTCCTGCTTTGTCATTATTATTACTTATTGTTGTTTCCCTTTTTGGGTTGAATCTCCCTGAAAATAGACACATTTCAAATTATCATTGTATCCCCAGGGGTTGCACAGTATTCACTCATGATGGTGCAATTTTTGTTTTATTTTTTGTAGTGCTGGGGATTGAACCCAGGCCCTTGCTTGTACTAGGGAAGTGCTTTAGCTACTGAGCTATCTGCAGCCCAGTGCATAGCACATGTGGCAGGAACATGCTCCTCCACCCTGCCATGCCTATTTGTTGAATAAGCTAGTAAATGTTTTGTGCAACTAGATGATTGGGACCCTAAAGTTTAGCTTAGAATTTCATTTAAAATTTATGATTAAACAGCTGAACACCATGTTGTACACCTATAATCCCAGTGATTTAGGAGGCTGAGACAGGAGGATTACAAGTTTGAGCAGCCTCGGCAGTATAGACCCTATCTCAAAAATTCAAGAAAAGGACTGGGGATCTAGCTCAGTGCTAAAGTGTCCTTGGGTTCAATCCTCAGTACCACAAAAACAAAACAAAACCATAACTGTTCTTGTAACTAATTCTGAGTAACCCCAAATTATTATTTTGTGTAGGGATATCTCTAAGTTTGCTATGCATTATATAATAGAAGAAATAGATGAAGATACGTCAATGGAAGATTTGCAGAAAATGATGGTTGTGGCACTTATATACAGATTATTAGTTTGTTTCTATGAGGTAAGTTACTGCAGCAAATAATTTTTTTAAGAATCAATCTTTAGATGATCAGCCTTAGTAATGGAAATTTATAATTAATCATTATTTTTCAAGTATTTTTCTGTTTTTTCCACATTTTCTTTAGTTAACTTTTTTTTCAAGGTAAAAAAACAACTTTTAGAAATTGTTTAGAAGGGAGACATTTTATAATTTCTTTGTAGTATTTTTCGGTCTTAAAAATAAAATTCCACTCATAAAAATACTCTGACCAATAAATATACTTGTAAGTTGGTTGGTTGAGGACACTTGGGAGTATTTTTCCTTGGGAACAACTTACTAAAAAATATAATGGGTCATAGAGAAATATTAAATATATTGTAGTGTTGCACATATTAAGAGACCACAGAAATAAATGGCTATCCTTTGAGTATTCTTTTAAGTTGAAAACTTTAAAACATGAAGTAACAGGAAACTTATCTTTAAAATTGGTATAGTTGAACCAATAAATTATTTTTAAATTTTCCTTATTTCCTTAGATAATTTGCATTTGGGGAGCAGGTGGAGCTACCCCTGGGAAGTTCCTGCTAGGACTTCGAGTTGTGACATGTGATACATCAGTGCTTATTGCTCCAAGTCGAGTTTTAGTGATTCCTTCCTCAAATGTTAGCATTACAACGTAAGTCCTTTTCTTAGCTTCATCTACTATATATTTGGGAAAGTATATATTTTAGGTATATTTTTGCACTGCATAATGTTTTGGTCAAGGATAGACCACATACATCACAGTGGTCTCATAAGATTATATTGACTAATGTCTTTGTGTAGGAATCTTAGTTTTGTATAGTACATTTAAGATTTTTATATAGTGAACAAAATCACCTAATGATACATTTCTCAATGTGTCCCTTATGTGACACAGGACTGTATTGAATATGGCATAAGTTATAATGCTTGTTATAATATTTTTAGAATATTGAATTTAGATTATTCTCACTCTTTATGACATATACTGCAATTATTAAAGGGTTTGTGAACTTTTTTTTTTATTGGTTGTTCAAAACATTACAAAGCTCTTGACATATCTTATTTCATACATTAGATTCAAGTGGGTTATGAACTCCCATTTTTACTTCAAATACAGATTGCAGAATCACATCGGTTACACATCCACATTTTTACATAATGCCATATTAGTAACTGTTGTATTCTGCTACCTTTCCTATCCTCTACTATCCCCCCTCCCCTCCCTTCCCATCTTCTCTCTCTACCCCATCTACTGTAATTCATTTCTCTCCTTGTTTTTTTTCCCATTCCCCTCACAACCTCTTATATGTAATTTTGTATAACAATGAGGGTCTCCTTCCATTTCCATGCAATTTCCCTTTTCTCTCCCTTTCCCTCCCACCTCATGTCTCTGTTAAATGTTAATCTTTTCCTCCTGCTCTTCCTCCCTGCTCTGTTCTTAGTTGCTCTCATTTGTGAACTTTTTAAATTGTTTCCTCTTCAGTATACATATTCAAGATCATTTTTATAGATCACAATAATGAGAAGATGATTTAGGTGTTGATGCTATACCAATCCTCAGGGCCCAACTTTATAATTCCCTAGGTCTGGGATATTTGGTCAGTTACTACTCTGTCTTGAGCCACCATTATATCTCGTCTTGAATAGGCTAAGAGTTTGATGATATGCATAATACATGCACATATCCTGTTGCTCTCAAATGCCAGAGCTTGTAATACCTCCAGTCCCCTAGTAGTTGGCGTCTAGCTTCCAGGGAGGGCGCCTAGTGGTAATGTGAGTGGTAAAGGTGAGTGGGTGGTAATCAGTTGAGCCAAATAAAATCTAGCTGTAAATATTGCCAGAATGAGTGACACCTGGATTGTTATAAAAGAAAGTGGGTAAGAGTCAAAAATGGCTAATACTTATCATATACCAGGCACTGTAAAGTGACATGTGCATTAACTAATTTAATCCCTAGAGCCTTATAAGATAGATATTTTTTTGCAGATGTGCGACACAACCAGAAATTAAAAGATGGATTTGGAAACAGCTAATCTGCATTCAGTCTACTCTTTTAGCCGTTGCTTTTTTTTTTTTTTTTCTCTTTTGGTAACAATATAGTGCACAAAGGGCAGAGATCTAATATTAGTAGGATAATTCTTCATTCTGATGTTTGTTGTTGTCGCACTTTTTACGGCTTTCCTACAAAGGAGAGAGGGGTTGAAAGACTAGACAATTTTAAAATGCTCGCACTTCATATAAGGTAGAGAATGTGACATTAAGCATTCAGTTTAGAAGGAAAATTTAGAAGGAAACACGTGGTAATAAAAGGGACTATGGGCCCAGCATGGTGACACTCACCTTAATCCCTGTGACTTGGGAGGCTGAGGCAGGAGGATCTAAGTTCAAAGCCAGCTTCAGCAACTTGGAAAGACCATGTCTCAAAAAATAAAAAGGGCTAGGGATGTAGCTCATTGGTTAAGCACCCCTGGGTTCAATCTTTGGTACCAAAAACAAAAAAGATGCCACTATGGAAAAGGGAAGCCAGGAACAGTATTCTTCCAGAAAAAAATACTAAAATATACTGTAAACCCTTAGTTCATATTCTGAGTTATTTACTTTTTAGTTGTTGATGGACCTTTATTTCATTCACTTATTTATATGCAGTGCTGAGAATCAAACCTAGTGCCCCACACATGCTAGGCAAGCAAGCGCTCTGCCACTGAGGCAGAGTCCAGCCCATCTGAGATGTTTTTCTTATGAAAGTTCTAAGTCTTATGTTGATGAACTCTTTAAGAGCCCAGTAGTTTGGTCATGATATATTTACTTGAAAATAACACATCAAAGGTAAAGATTCTCTTAATTACATATTGACTGTTTCAAGTACAACTTGAACTTGGGTAGGATACCACTCATCTGTATGTAGTCATCTATACCTTGATATTTTTGCTTTAATTTTTTAGGTCCACCATACGAGCTCTGATCAAGAATTTTTCTATTGCCTCTTTTTTCCCTGCTTTCATCACACTGCTGTTTTTTCAGCATAATCGAACAGCCTATGACATTGTAGCAGGAACCATTGTGGTAAAAAGAAATGGGGTCAGATGATGTCCCAGAAAACCCTGAATTCCACTCTTTGGAATAATGACAAGACTAAATTATGTGTCAAGGCCATCAGTATCCCTGGGTAAAATTGATTTAGAAATTAAAGCAGTCACTTCAGTGTGATACAGGTGACTGTTCTGAAAGTATTGATTTTACTTGAATGCCAAAGAACTTTTCCAGAAGAAAAACATATATATTAAATTCAAGTGTTAAAAAATTTTTAGATCAACAAGAAGGCCAGTGGTTTCATAATCAACAATGGACAATATATACTTTCTTTAGATCTAAGGCATTAGAATTTGTTGAAAGCATTTTCAGCTTTGAAATCTCCAAATGAAACTTTAAAATTTTTATTTTGGTTTATCCCAAAATGATGGAAGAAGTCCAGTTGTGTTTTGTAAACACCTACTTAGTTTATCTTTTAGTTTACACTTCTTGGGGAAATGGTTCTTTGTTTTGGTGTGGGGAGGGAGTGAGAACTCTTCACTCACCTCCCTTGCCAGCAGGTGTTGAGTCAGCTGCAGTGTTTTTGAAAGGGGCAAGTGAGGCAGGCCTAGCAGTTCCTTGCCTGAAGTTTCCAGTCTGTGCTGCAGTTCACTGCAGTAAAGGTGTTAACTCTGCAACTATTCTTAATGCTTAAACGTGTTTAGGGGCAGATTTTTCATAATGATGAAAAAGTATTAAGTCATATTGCTATATTATCACTGATTTTTTTTTTTAATGAGAAAAGTTAAGTTAGTGATTGTTTATAAGGGCAGGGGGTGTAAATTTTTACTGTAAATTTAAAACATACAATTCATGTGCAAGTATTTTCACTGCCCCCTAAAACTCACTACGACTATGTGGGGAAAACTTTTATTAAAATGTTGCATATTTACTACAAAATTTGTGTGCAGCATGAAGAAAGTGTTAATGCTTTTCAGTGTTGTGAGTGTAACTTATATACTTCATACTCACATAGTAGTTCCTTTCCTCTTCTTATATAGTTCCATGACTGTTGAGACATCAAGAGTTAAATAAATCACCCTAGTTATTTCATGAGTAACTCTAAATGCCAGTAGCCTGTGAAATGCTAGCAATTTTCCCATCCTGAACTATTCTCTCCAAAGCAAGGGAGACCGTCATCTCCAGACATCATTTCAGCTGCTTTCAGCTCATTTTGGGCCTGCTTGGGATGGAGTTGTAGGGGAAATGTGAAGCAAAATAATACTTTGTGTATTGCCATTTTGCTTTACTCTGCTGAAGCAAAGTCATGGGGTTTTGTTCATGTTTGCATGTGCTTTTGTTGTGTGTCCCAGTTACCTGTGTTGAGAGAGATACCCGAACTATTTGTAATTTTTTGATTCTTACTCATTTTCTCCAACTCTGACACTATTTTCCAAAAAACACTAAACTGTACTGTACAGTTTAAAATTAGACTGCTTACGGGATCAGTCTAAGCTGTGTTCTTGGTATTAAATTTATAGCAAACCCAAGACATGTCTGTTATCACTGTTCAATTTTTAAAGTAGATTTTTCTTTTGATATTTAAAACTGTGAAAGTAACATTTAATGTGTGTAGAAACTTTGACAGTGTCCTTAGTAATACATGTTTATTGTAAAACTTAATATTGTTAAGTGTGTACAAGTACTAAATAGATGATTCACTTGTAACCTCTGTGAAGGTTGTTTTATGGCTCTTCGAAGGAAAAAGAAAACAAAAAATCTTTTATTTATATTGAAAATTGGGAAATGTTATACAAACTTAAAATAGTATAGACACTACTGTTGTCACTGATTGGGGAATTCAAGTTTAAATGTCCTTCAGTCGTAACTGTGGAATGTATCTTTGACTTGGAATTTCTACTGAAATAAGTTGTCATCAAGGCTTTTTATTTATACAAAAAAAAAAAGTTCAGTTTAATTAGTACAATTTGCTGTAAGTGTGGACTCAAGTTATACCATGTATTCCCATCGGATACACATTAAGTCTTACTTTGCCTTTACAACAAAACCAAAGTCTGTTTCTATTTATGAATTCAGTGCTTAGAGGAAGTACTTTTTCATTCCCAGAGTTGAAAAATGTGACAAAACAATGGGGAAAAAAGAGAACATGGCCCAGTGCCCATTTTCCCTTGTAGCTATGAGGTGGATTCTCCCTTTCAGGAAACCTTTCTATTTGGTATATTTCACTTATATAAGTGATATTGGCTCTTTTCTGTGTCAAAATCTAATTCTCAAGTTGAAACTCTAGCCTAAAAAGGCCAAAAAAAAAAAAAAAATCTTAGTACAAACATTATTTGTCACTTTAAAAGTATCCTGGAATGGCTAGTCTGGCAGGCTGACTATGTTCATGTTGGGAGGCAGAAGCTGGGCCCTGGGTACACAGTGCCGAGTAGTAGCCTTGCTTTATAAAGACCACTCTATAAAAAAAGAAAGAAAGCCTGCACATTTGGATGAAAAGTCTTTACTTGCCAGTATTTATGAGAAAGTATGGCCCAACTCCGTTAGCACTGGTTCAGTAGTTCTACCTTAATGTTTGCCTTCCATCACTCAACGTGTTTAGGATTGGGGGAAAAAAGACATTCTATTTGAGGGCCACTTGTCTAATGTTTTAAAATACTAGCAAAATTTAACTCCTACACTAAAAAGATTTGTTCTTGTCAGTGATTTGAGTGTTTTGCTTACACATAAATATTTATACTTCGGAATATAAAGGGATTTTTGAAGGGTGTGTAGTATTGAATGTTTTCATTCTACATTTAGCCCTATTAAAAGAGGCTATTATTGTTTCTTCAAAGAATGTGCCCAAATAAAAGTATTCCTAAAATCTGGCAAGTACCACCATGTTTAAATTCTTGCCATTCCCCTTCCCCAGTACCAAAGTCTTCACAACGTGTGCACATTATAGTAGGATTTGACCTGCAGTTTCTGATGTCCGACCAATAAATAAAATCCATCATTCTATTTTTTAATAATTTGTATGCCACCAGTTTGTATTATTTTTCTCAATAAATACTTGTGTCACCAGTGCATCTGTGTTTTGTCTGTTTATTTGAGGTTTGCTAGGGAGACCTTGCTTCCAAGTACCACTTTCCAGGGGATACTCCAGTGAACTGGGTCATTTTTAGAAATGGGTCTATGAAAACATTATCTGCCTCGAGGGATATTTCTTTCCCACACCAATTACAATCAATCCAGTCCTTAAAGAGTCATTAGCTACCACCATATAAGACTATGAGACAGCTGGGCAACTTAAACTCAGTTTTGGTCTTACAAACCCCTCCCCAATCTAACCTACACAGACAAGCTAAGGGAACAGATAAAGTATCCTCAGGAAAGGCAAAAATATAGTCTGGTTTGAATCTGTAGACAATGTGCTGTTAAAAACTTAGCTACTAAGGGCTGGGGTTGTGGCTCAGAGGTGGAACACTAGGTACATGAATAAAATAGAGGTATTGTGTCCACCTACAACAACAAAGCCCTAATTGCACATTTTAGAACTACACTGTCCTTTGAGCAAAGTTTGTAAAAGCTGCTCCATATTTCTCTTGACTTGGTTAGGGTTAGGGAGCAGTAGTGTGTGGACATAACACCCCCATTTCCTCAATACTACATCAAATTAGTTTCCATTAACCACACAAGCTGACCTTTAAAATTTTTCACTGAATTTCAAATTTTAAACAGGCCCCCCAAAGGACATGCCATCAGAATAGAAGGAAACATTCTTCCCAGGCTAAACTATTAACAGCCTGGTAACAAATTGTTAAAATGAACAATTTATTTCAGTAAAGAGGGTCACAAGTTTGAGGCCAACCAGGGCAACTTACCAAGACCTGTCTCAAAGAGGGCTGAAGATATAGCTCAGTGGCAAAGCATTAGGTTCTATCCCTGATACTGAGGAATAAAGATTGGAAATAGTCCCAAGTTCAAATACAGTTCTATAGACACTCAGTTGGGAAGCTAAAAGATCCCATTTATGGGATCTTAAGTATGGTTTATTGGTAACTTGTTTAAAAAAGGAATACTAAACATTTCTAGCATATTTTTTGAGCAAAGTAGAAAGCCTGACATGCCTAATTACCTGGGATGGGTAATGGCAAAGAACCAACCTACAAGAGCACCTAGCGGTCACAGATTTCCAGTTACCTTTTCTAACATTGATTATCAAATATATATTATTAATTATAAAAGGATGATGGTTGAAGATGCCTTAGGTAAGACAAACATCGTTTTATGGAAAACAGAAATGCTTCTAAACATTGAAAAATTTCAGAATTTCAACTCCAACCACCTCAAATTAAAAGCAAGCACATATTAACTGCATTCAAATTGCAGTCTAAAAATACCAATGCTATTCTAAGAGTTCATTGGGCCACAGGAAAAAAAAGTGATCAGTAAAATAATAATTTAGTAATTTAAAAAATTACACAAAAGGACCACTAAAGTTTTTGAAAATTGCTTTAGATATATATCCCTGCAAACTATGAATAAACACTGTCCAATCACCTATCAAGGAAGATATAATACAAACAAATGGTTGTGTTTATTTTCAACTTCAAAAAAAGTATGAAGATCTATGTGCAAATAGGCAAGACCCCCAGCACCAGACAGGCAGGGTGCCTCCTTCATGCTGTCAACTCAGACCCTTCCCTCTCTACATTAAATATACTCTCTGGGATTTCTAACTGAACACTGCTTTATAAAGTCCCTTTCCATGGCTACTGTGTACCTTCATTATGAGTTAAAACTCTTTAACAAAAAGTGCTTCATAAATTTTTATTGATGGCATTTATCCCATGGTTTAACATGTTAATTATACTGTAATAAACATGGCTTTAATATTAAACTTTTCCTTATTATCCAAAGTCACCACAGTCCATTTCAGTAAATATAAAAATATATGCTTAATACTTTGTACAATACTGGTTTTTGGTCCAAACAAAACTGGATCAGAAAAGCCAATAAATTCAACTTTAAGTATCCCCAATTTTTTTTTTAAGATTTCTAAATGGATTTAGGCAACTTTGAATAATGGGATTTACATAATAAAATCTGAGACAAGACTAAACAAACAACAAAAAAATGTCTAACACAAAATTAAAATTTCAAGTTCACAGATTTATGTTATGCCAAAAAAGTACAGAAACAAAATTAT